TAGCTGCTTGATGTTGTTATTAGGAATATTTACTAATTGTACAACATCTTGCAACCCAGCTCTGAAAATGCTCCGCTGTATAGAAATGTTTCGTTTCTGTTTCCTCTCTAGAGCAGTTTGCTGTTGCCTGTCCACTCTCGCTCAACGATTCTATACATGTTCGAACCGCACTATATGAATACGCTACTGGTCTTGTCTGATTGCCTATAGGGCATTCGGACTAATGGTAAGCAGCGTTTAATGGAAGCCGCGACTGTCGTCTAGCGCTAAACGACTTCGATGAGTCGAAATGGACATTCACAGCTCTAATGAGAGAGCGAAGCTGGAGGAGATCCCGTCCCTTATTCGATACATCGAGGCTTCGGACTCAGAATGGTATGATGTCTTCTAAGCCCGAACAAACATATAAAAATGAACTTCAGCAAGCAAAACTACAAAACAAAGCTCCAGGAAGTCATCTCTTTCACAAGTTTTTTGATTTTACATTTTAGGTGTTTAATGAGGATAAAAATGGTTCTAAGATTTCCCCATCGGATGAGTTCGGGGCCCCTACTGATACCATATGTGACGATGTCAGGTCGAGAAACGTCCTGAATAGAGGACAACAAGGGGCCGGACATTGTATCGTGTGAATGGCACACGCATAACAGACGAGTTTCAGCGGCGTTGTAGAGGCTGCGCAGTTCACAAAGGAACCCATATAGAGAGTTCAAACAATTTGTCATTATCCATAGCGACAGTGGAAGACAGTTATGAACCATACTGGCTCAACATAGTCAGCTCATTGCGTAATTGCAATAGTTGAAATCTCGTCCGAATACCGCTTTCATGCCATTTCCACCAGGGTAATCTCTTACAACACCTATTTTCCCTAGATTCGAAAAGGCTTATTTTTCGCAAAATCGGCGAATTTTCTCGCTCTCTTTGCCACCGGTGCACTACCCTCAACCAACACATTACTTAAAAGGGTACCTCAAAATTATCGTGAACTGGGCCATTAAGTGAACACTTGTAGGTGGCCTCTTGGTGGTTTTGTGCCAAAAAGAGAATTGTGGGGAAAGTGTGAAAGATCATCCTGCTGAATCCTCTGTAAACCAGTTTGATCGACGAGTTGAAAGAATTGCGTTTCTCAAAGCAGTGTTCTCCTTATTGTGCCTCCACGTTGTCTATTTGCTGTAGATCGTATACCTAAACCCTGGTTCCACTGATTTCTCCACGTCGACAAAACAGCCACGATTACTCAATTCCACCTTTTCTTCAATCGGAACCAGATAGACTAAACCGTTCAAAACTAGAACATAAACGCAAAAAAAAGTCAGCGAATGTTCACAAGAGGATCAAATCGATCGAGGCTTCCCGAAAAAAAATCGTCAACACAAATAGAATTCCGGGACCTGCAAAAAAATCAAGGTTTAACAAAAAATCGAAGACCACATTCCACGCTCACAAATAAGCCACAGTTTATTATCGTAATAAATATAGAAGCAACAACAGTTCTTTCGTATAACAGTTCACACCCATAGGCAGTATAAATTAAAGATTACTTTCCCAGACGATGAAACCAACTCAACAAGTATCACATAGTCAGATGTGGTGAAATGGGAAAACAAAGGTGTTCTAATAGAAATCCAACCGGTTTACTTATCGTGTACTCGAGGTTAAACGTAGATTCCAACCCAGAGAAGAAGGAAAAGCGAACCGAAACCTAGGAAAAAGGCGGCGATTGTGGCAATCAACAGCTCCTTGGCAATATTACGAGTATATTTGTTGGACGTCACCTAAAAAAATTTAATAAGTCTTCACTAGTGATACCAGTCTTACTGGAACTAGTTCTCTCAAGAAATTCAAGGAATCAGTCGACGAAAATCGGACTTCAATAGGGTTTTCAGCCTGGCGGGACTGTTTTCGGGAGTAGTCAACAAAATGCGACAGATGCCAACGAGTTCTGTCGCATGCACAGTAACCTTGTTTAAAAGACTCAACTCCTCAAAATTACCAATTCAAGCGCTCTGTCAGAGAAAACTAGTCTTTTGAACAACTGCTAACTCTTACCGAACCAATTTCATATATGTTACTGTCACCGGCTACATTTTCTATTAAAAGGTACTTTATCCGTCACATTACATCGCATGGTTATTTCACCCCCTCATGAAAAAAAAACTAATTTTGCAAAACGGTCTTTCATGCAGAACAAGTGACTGCGCTACAAGAACAGCAATGTTAGCTGCTTGACCGTAACGGCATCACCTCGATGAAACCGAAATCTGCATAACCACGCGAAATATACCACGGGTACAATTATGAAACAAAAAAAGCGAAGACGACAATCAACGATTTCTCACCTCATACACAAGGAACCATGCCATGAAGAAAAGGCCTAGACCACATAGCGCTGTCGTGAGTTGAGGGAAGTGTGCCGGGTTTACCTGGAAATTTTTATACTTTTCACTGCAAGCTTCTCTAATTTGCGGAGTCAACACATTCCCTTCTCCAAATACACAGCATTCACGCGATGCGTCGTGGCATGTCGGGCATGAGAGTCAATTCTGAAGATTGTAAGCAAAAAGCAGGTTGTTAGCGCGATTGTGCACGTAAACCGTAACCCCTATGCTTACTGCATCGCGTCTCAGATGTATCGGCGGTACATGAATACCACGAAGCAACGGGTTGGGAATTCTAATGAAGACGAAGGGTTAAGGAACGGGAAGGAGTGGCAATTCCGTAGCTTCGGTCGAAGGGTATAACACCTATCGAATATACAAAATATGCCTAACTCTAATTCCAGATATATCCCTACGACAACAAATACAGCTTATAAGGAGAAATGCCTCGGGAACTCGCCTACCATTAAAAGACTACAAATGACTACAGACAGCAGACACGAGCCCTACACCTCTTAGAAACATTTCTGGGTGGTATACATACACCTTTACCAAAGTGACAACAACCCAATCACAAATTCAGCTCCGTTTTGAATAAAGCGATTTAAAAACGTACCGGTCCAACGTATCTATCCATCTTTGTTATGTCCATTATGGCAAAGCAACCTTGAATGTCGGCAATAACATTAAATGAAAATGCTATAAAAATATAGCTGCTAGCCGCGATACTTCTCGAGCACAGTCACTCATTTGTTATGAACATTCACAATTAATCGCATTCTAATTGTTTATTTCAATCTAATTGTTGTTGTAAAAAGACCAGTAAAAGCACGGAAATCATTGTAGCAGTACCACTCAGAAACGTGGAATTATCAGATTATACAAAAACACTGCGAAAAATGTACATCTGTACAACAGCTCGGAGAAATTCATTCGATAAAACTTACTAGATTAAACACCGGAAGTTGCAATACGAGGGAAAATGACAATTTTCACTGACAGAAATGGGGTGCGTGACTGTTGAATGGATGGCTACCTCTTAAGTAGATAAAACAAAATAGAACAAGAATCATAGAAAAAGTTGAAACTTCACATACACTTTCGGGCAAAAAACAGACTTTTTTCTGAAAGGAAGAACTTATTCAACGGAAGGGCTTGCGCTAGCAACAAAATGAATATTCAACGAGTATTTTCAGAAAGAAGCAGTGGAACCACAAAGCCAGCTGAACTTCACAAAGAGAAGACGGCAAGCGGAACCACCATTTTAGGTCATCATCTAAAATTCCCTATCAGGGAACAAAGCAGGTGCAACCAGAGTCCATCCATACAGGGCAACACAGAGCCAGGAAGAAACGATCTTCACCCACACGGATGCCATGTTGCTGTTCAGATGTGTAAGATCATTGTCAGGGCTGGAATAATTGATGTGATCAAAATTGAAAAACAAAGTCATTGGAGTGGAAAATAAATTATCTTCTAAAAGTAATAATATCATAAAACCCACTTGTACCAGCTGGTGAGAGTCATCATTACGTACAATGAAGCCAATCCAAACATGAAATGGAAAAACGAGTAGGAGTATGCCACTCCCTCAGTCTCATTATCCCATACACGTCGGGAGGAGTTGGCTGATCCAGATTCTTCGTCCTCTGAGAAGAAAAAATATAATAAAGCCAATACCTCATTAGAGGCACATAAAGCTGACGAAACAAGGGATACAGCTGAGAGCAGTAACAGAAACGAGTTTACATTAAAATAAAATTCCTGGTCTAGAGGGCATTACTATGGCTTAGCTTCCCCGTGATCGTGGCAAAGAATTAAGCTAAAAACTTAATCTCATGAGACACCCTTCGAATAGTGGCTCGATCATCCGATGCGATGCATAATAATGCATGCAAGAAAATGCAAATGTAATTTTCAAGCTGGAGATGGCTGAAGACAGGGAAACCTATCTACCAATTCAACTCCAGACCATTTAACCAAAATTATAACAAAAGGAACTTAATGCGAAATGCTATCGCTCCTATAGTTCTAAAAACTTCAATCAAAGCAACTGACTCTACCAACAATAAGAATTTTCGACACGCTCCCGGGGTTCATCTTTGGAAAGAATTTTCTTATTAACCCCTCTCAGCTCTTCCGATGGCGAAGAAAAGAAATAGCGACAGCCAAATATCGAGGTAGACGCTGACAGTCCGTCGAAATCTCTCAGGAATTCTTTGAGACATAAGGTGTGCTCTTTAGAACATAAAGTGTGCGTACATGCAGCAACTGCGAATGCGAAAGAAAAAAGGATAAATTTTCTCAGTAAAAATTGAATTTCGGCCAAAAACATTCAAATCTGATGGAAAGGACAGCAAGCTTTCTAGAATCAACGAAACAACATAGAAATCTGATACATTGAACAAGAAAACTGACCAATCCATGCAGCATGCAACATGCTGGGAGTAGCGCGGTCCCTTGCACTAACGACTTTGTGAACAAACTCAACTCATTATGCGCCCTATTCTGTGCACAACTGAACTACCCGAGACGACTTAAGTATGAATTAGAGAAAGTTTCGTCTTTAGGAGGCGCTGTAGTGACGTAACAACGAAGAATGATATCCTTGAAGAAATTTATATGAGCAAGCGTGCACGGTTCGACTAAACTAATTCCACGCTGGGACCGCGCACTCACCGCTTGTGGCGACAATCGCGTCGCGTGACCCACTCAGTTGGACATTTTCACCTCCACCAGTGATCTTGCCAAGTGAAGAGTTTGTTGATGTTCGAATGGAAGCATACAGAAGACATAAAAACCATAGAACCAACGATATGATTGACTGCGCTGGGACTGGTGTGCCAAAAGTCTGAAGGGATATATTTAGGTGAGTTTCAGGATTGAAAGAAAAATCTTTTTACGCACGTGTTCATCTTTGTCTCCTGGACGAGTAGCATTTGTGAAAATGCTGATAAGCGATGGGTTACATGGTTTGTCTGAAAGTGAAGACCATGAAAAGCAGTCAGTTTAATATCGCTAACACAACACTGAAATCCTCCTGTGCTCAAAGAAAAAAAAAACGATCGATAAAAAAGGCAAACAGACCAGGGTTATTGACAAGAGCTGCCCAAGTCAAATACATAACGTAGATGGAAATGAATGCTGACTGAAGTAAACCAGAGCGGGGCATTCTGCAAGTATATGAGTGTGGAAGGTAGTTACAACTTTGAAGTGAAAGAACACCGTACCTTTCCTGCACAAAGGGCGTGATCGATAAGATACTGACTCCAATGCACAAAATCATGTTGAACGAAATGAAAAACTTCGGCAAAGCGCAAGTTGCCCCCTAAACGGAAAAGAAAACTATTCCACAGCGTTTACAAATAGAATTCAGCAAACAACTACTGACCGTGGTGTAGAATATGAACATGAGGACAATTGCTGTTAATGCAACGGCATAACAACCAAACGTGAACGTCAGCAAACCGGCATAACACCAACGCGATTCATTTTCTTCATATCTAAAAGAAAATTTGACATGACAATGTAGCATAGACCAGGAACGATGAAAACCTTACGTTTCTACCCAGCTTTCAGCAAGACCATGAGCAAAGTCAACAATTAATATCAGCTGGATCAGAATGAACAAAAATCCTCCAATCATGCCGAACCACATAAGAGCTGAAAATGAAACAAGCATTTATTCGAGTTCACATTTGCCGTACAGCCAGTTGAGAAGATTCTAATTCGATGACTTTATAATCGCATAAACTTACGCGTCGACAAATGCTCACTACGAATAAAGAAGAATCCAACCGTCAGCCCAGCCAATAAGAGGTATTTGAAGAACCTGCAAAGCACTTATCAAAATGGAATCATATATGGAAGTTAAGGAAAGTGAAGTAGGAATGTAGGTGTCGCGAGATTTTCATTCTTTTCACCCGCGCAAAGTCAAAACCGATTGGTCTTAGAAATTTGGCATTTTATGCAAAAGTAGCGCTTCTTCCTGAAACCGAAGAATGAGTTTGCTCCAATACTAGACAAAAGGTAATGTGACACGCATTCCCTTGCTGACTTAGAATGATCAAAGTTAGCCCACAGCGATATCCAAGAGCAGCAAAAGTACCGATTTATTCTTCAAGGTTAACGAAGCAACCTACCAGAATCCATTCTGAATAGGTGACCTCGGATCTTTCGACGTTTTGACCCCAAACATTATCAGCATGAAAATGAAGAAGAATGAAGCCATTGCTGCACACATCCTGAACATGAGTGGTCCAAAATTCATCGAGAATGTTGAAAGCCTCATTTCGCAGGAGAAATTTTTATTTATAAGCTACTATAATATGTAAAGCGCACCTGTACACAGCCTGGAAGCCTGTCGCTCGTTCACAATTTATACCAGCAAATTCGCTTAACCCTTGACAGAACCAGTTATTCTGAAAAGTTTGCAGTTGAGTATAGGTAGATTTGAATGCTAAAATGATGGAGCATAGATCATCAAAACTAAGAAAAACCCAGATGTAGCGCCGATGCATATAGTGTAGTGCTTCAATTTGCAATGGAGATTTTTTTTCGAATGAGCAAATTTAATTTCAACTCTCCGTCTACCATTTCTTGTGATGGTGCTCTTCTACTACAAGAAATGATTCGTGGTGAAAGCTCGCTTTCAATTATTCGCCCAAAACTTCAAAACAGAAACCGGGCATGACGAGAGAGCTGTTGTGTCACGCAGTTTCAACTAAAGCAATTTTGACAATAACCGCGCTGACTGCAGGTCAAGACCCGAAAATCGCCTCTCACGAGTAATGCACAAGATGTAGTATTCATCCGAGTACATCCAACCTGCGTACACCTACACCCCCGAAAAATTTGATTTCATTCGAAATTTGCCAAAAAGTGGGTAAATTCACTATGGTACAAACGAAACCAAGCTTCTTCTTATTCGATGATCAGTTCTTCATGACATTCTCCCGCGAAGGAGCTTTCCTAACTATGCAATTGTGATGGATACCGAAGCGACAAAAAACAGCAAAACCTACATCAGCCATTTTCTGTTGTATTCCTGGAGCCAACATAATGCATGCGACAAAAGTGCCCACAAAGAGCATCACTGCGTACATTATACGAGTGGTAGTCGAATTCCTTGCCGTTGGACAGGCTGAACAACATAACGAACATGCTGCGCTGCCACAACAGCATGCAAGCTGAAAGTAAAAGACAGTCAAGATTGATTTTTACAGCAAAAATATACTGAGTGAACCTTATTAATGTCGCTGAGTGTGTGTTCAAAAAGACAGCAAATAGCGTGAGCTATTTGCTGCCTTTTTGAAACACACACTCAGCGCACCTATGGTCACGACTCTGGCCGAATGATTCCCCTTCAACGATAATGGAAGATCTGTGAGACTGTAGCTGTGGAGTGTACTATCCTACCTGGAGCATGCCCTTCTTATACAAATTCCTTCACTCTAGAAAACTCTAAGAAGAAAATAACCCAAAAATTCTAAGCGGCAAAGCCAGTAGTCAGAGTATACTCCAACGGAAGGATGAGGACTTGGTTCTTTTCAGAACTCTTTACCATTAAACTTGTCAGTTGCCAAGCCAGTTTTCAGCTTCCTTGACGAGCCATAAGACGAAATCTAATGTCCTAGCAAGTCCCGCACTGGTACATTAAATTTGTTAGTAAAGGAATGCTTCCAAAAAAGTGTCATTTCCTAGGAACAAGTAATGTTCTACAACATACCGAGGCCGCGCACGCCGGTGCAGCAAGAAGGGCTCCCATTCCGGGTTAGTCGACCTAAAAAAAATGAGACATAAAAGGTTTCTCATACTTAAAAATCGACGTTGATAAGATAATGTACCAGAAATCTATTAAAGAGACAAAGGCAAACGGGATACTAAAACATTAAGATCACAGTATCTGGCGAGCTAGTGAGTTTGATTTATATCTGGCGCTAAGTTTGGCCTATGACCCTGCAACTTTGTCATGTGAAGTCATAGTTGTAGTGTTCAACGACAGCCCATTATGGGAGCTGTGCTTACGAAACGGGGGGCATGTGTTCGTGAGCTTTTCTGGTGATATTGAACATTGGTCACACGATGATAAACCAGTGTTTCTGGACACCTCTTTCAATCAAATACAGAACGGGAACCCGATTCCTACCATGACCTTGCGGTGTAACAAAATGCAGAGGACGCAGATGTTCACGTTTAACATATTTCATTTCGCATCATAACTCTCAGCCCAGCCACTCATAAGACGCATCAAAAAAGCCCTTGAAGAAGACATTGGCCATCCACCTTGAAGAAGACCTTGGCCAGTTTGGGGCAAAATGATCGAAATTCTAATCAATTTATTGACTTTTTTTTNNNTTTTTTTTACAATGACGCCCTTTATTCAACATTTCAAGCCACCAATACATGAAAGGTTCAGGACGTACTTGGGAATCCTGAAGGGAGAACTCACAGGGATCAATGGGATTTGGAGTTAACGGGAGGGAGAGAACCGCCTTCAGGGCCTACTAAAAATGAAACCTACTTCAGGACCTATCACTAATAGTAAACAAGTATGAGTGGATACCAGACATAAACAACCGTAAAAGTTGTGAAAACAGCTAGAAAGAGAGTGATATGCCGTAGAAGGTTTAACAAGCTAAGCAGAAAAACTGGATCGAAAACACCCTGTGCCAGCCGCCGCACGAAAACCCGACGTCACCCATGGATATTGATCGCTCCTCAGCTGATGCTTTCGTGTCAAGACCATCAGGCAGCGAAGGCGCCTCCGTCCATTAAATGAGTCAGCTGAGCCTTTGCCTATTACGCAATTGTCATCAGTTCCGTCCCTCTACTCGCCATTTCGTTTAACTTCTGAGTATTTAAAGCCGTGAACCGCTGTCTTCGAGCCCTTCGATTCTTATATTTGCTATTATTACTTGTTAATGGCCTCCTGTAGCTCCTTGATGTTGATATCCTTCATTTGGTTGGGTCCTTGACAACGGTGCAGTTTTTTTTCGTTTTGATCATTTACTTAGAAAAAGAGAAGAGGAAAGAGGCTCGTTTTTCTCATGTTGGAAACTCTTGTTTGTCTTTTCTTCCTGCCAGCTGTCTGTCCACATGTGCGGTCTTCTCGGACTATGTGATCTACCGCATAACTTAGCCCAAATTTTGAGCAAAATTCTTGATAAAACATACTTAAACCATACATGTTGTAGAGAAGACATTGCTTTTCAATCAAAGCAGACTTGAAGTTCAGGAAATAGTAAAACCCCTTTGGCGTCAAGCAATTACTCCATTTTCTTTCAGAATCGTAGTGACGTCTGACGGCGCATATAGATGTGCAATGAGTTGGGATAGGTAATCGGACCAACCCTTTCATCCCCCCCAGACGGATAGGACATAGTAAACCGACCTGGAAGTGACATAAGTGACAGTCGGTCAGGGCGTCAAGACAGATATGGTCATCCAGAAATTTAGCGATATCCATGGATTGACAACGACTTGCAGTGGCCAACAGATGTAGAAGTCGGTAATTTTACCCCACCAAACTAGCCCGGTATCAGTTATTGAGGCTGATGTCAAGGCGGGATGCGATCCTTGGACCCTGCGGGTGGTAATGCACCGCTTGACAGTACAACACCTCACTTTTGCGGAGCAAGCCACCAGCCAACTGCAGATTGGAGCAGTAGATAAATTGATTTAAGGGAGGTTGTTGTGGTAAGGTAGAGGGTACGAAGCGGACGGAGGGAATAAAAAGGAGAGAGGAGCTCTACTGAGCACTATTGGGCCTGTGAAAAGTAGGCTACCAGTTTTCTGGGGAAGGCGTGGGTTTCTATCAACGTAGTTGGTGTTAAGTAACTCTCCTGATGGTATTTTTTAATGCTTTAATCCTGATCTCCTTTGATGGAGTATTTCTATACGCTCCATCCATCGTGGCTGACTAGCGTTCGTTGATAACGCTTGTGAAATGTTTGGGAATTTGTCATCATATTTTATCATTTCGCAATCGAAACAGCCTGAACGGAGCCGTCTCCCAGTCTATCTCTAATGTCATCATTCGATCATCGAGAGGTGCCCTAAGCGTTCGCTAGTACAATGCACAGTTGCCGTTCTTCGTAGGAATGTCATATGTTTCTCAGTTCTTCTCAAAGAATCAGGAGATGCCGCTTTTGTCTCCAAGCCGATTGTTGCTTTTGCCTCCGATACCTACTGCAGAACCTGTGTTTTGATTTTCAACAATTGCTGGCTTTTTTCTATTTAATAAATCCGACTTAAATTCAATTAGCTTCCAAATACTTGTAAAGGGCTATTCCAGATGGAGGTCATAAGTGTGAAGCTGACCACTGGAGATGTCCATCGTCGTTTCAAAATACGGGTAAGTTATTTCTGAGTTAGAATCTCAAATCAGTTATAATGCGGTCGTATAAGTTCCTTCCTACAACTGCTACATGGAAACTGGGAACCTCTCGCAGCGCGTCTGAACTTTCTTTAAACTTTAAGGTCATCAGCAGATATCTCCAAGGGGCTGTTGTGACGGTTGTCTGTAGTGCGAGACGCCAAGAGTACATCTTAGTAAAAGGCACTTTTGCGACGTTTTGAGGATGATTGACGCCATTAAACTCTTGCCCCCAACCTCAAATTTTATGATGGTAAAGTGATACATCAAGTGCTTAAATTATCATGGGAAGTGGGTCATTCCCTTATATATACTCTCGTCAGCAGTAAAGTCTCCTCTGCTGTAATAAGGCATAACCAATTTTGTATTAGAGGATTTCTACGAATCGTAAGCCTGAATAGGCAGGGTAATCAAGGGAGAGTAGCAGAAATCGAAGGTAAAGAGCAAAAGATTATGATTCAAAACCAGCTGGCAGGCTGTGTGGAAAAGGTGTAAGCTCGCGGCGCACCGTGTAATCCGCGCGCATCAGCTCAGTGGTCGATTTTAATGTTCCTCACGTTCTCCTCTTTAGTTTATAGATTCACTGTTCTTTATTTGTTTCAGGGCAGTGATATGAATGAGCTCTTCAATGACTTGACGGAGAACCTTACTCAAATCTCTCAAGTAGGGGGAGAGTTCGACGTCGCGTGGCAAGGTTAGAACTTGAACTATTACCTTTTCGAAATTGTAAAAGCGAAGAGCCGAAATATCGATGAAACAGTCGAATTAATAGATTTAATGATGTTTAACGGCAAATGCGTACCATTTTTAGAATATAGGTGCCTCGGATAGATGGTCCAAAATTGAGATGACGGTGCTCAGGTTTTACTGGTTTCATTACATATTTATGGAGGCTTCTTTCCGGTTGTTCCAGTGGAGCATGAATAGGTCGCTCCCGTCAGTACGAATGACTAGTGATATTCCATCAAGACACTCTCCGATTCCCTAATGTTGGAATTTCGCGTGATGAAGCTCTATCGAATCATTTCAGACGAAGATGGCGACAACATTGTAATCACTCGCCCCGTGGAATTGGGAGAGGCTATCGAAGCACGCAAAGATGCCACTCTTAGACTTCATTCAGTTGACAAGAAGGTTGTGAAGGTTGAAGCGAAGCCTGATAGCAACACACCACAGCAAACCAACGAACAAAACACTGCACCTTCAGGGGTGAGAGACAATATTTTCTTTCATGCCATCTGGTTAGTTTACGAGCGTAACGATTAAGGCTTCGAACGAGGTTGTTCACAAGGATGTGCTATGCGATGTTTGCGATGCTGTGATAATTGGGACTCGATTCAGATGCCTCCTCTGTCTTGACTATGATTTGTGTCAGAACTGTGAAAAAACTGGTATGTTCTCCCTCATTGTCATAGGTCCACGATCAGCAGTTTCAGCAGAAGCGGCTATGAGCTGTTTTTGCAGCATAAAAATCTCTTTTGAACACTTTCCATCGCTGTTGAGCTGCCTTTTTTCCAGGGGTTCATGCTCACCATGGCATGATTCGCATTGTGGATCCCTTGCGCACATTCGTGCCATGGGGTGCTCGCCTTAAGTATATGCCATTGGGTCGTCATGGTAAGTTATTTTTCGAAATATATTACTAGTCTGTTATTTGTTCAGAGAAAACTGATTTTAGGTCGTCACCGTCATGGTCCAGGAATAGGTGCAGTGTTTCCTGATGCTAATACACGGTTAGTTACGTTTTCATGGTAGTCGTCGTGTAAGCTGGTTTGGCTATTATTATATTTGTGTCGCCCGAGAAATACTTCCTTAACTTCGTGTTTAGGCAGCGCGTACATTTGGCAAAAGAACACATTACTGAACAAGTTGCTAGGAGTATGCAGTATTTACAGGACATGGGGCAAGCTGTGACCGCTGCTCTCGCGAATTTCGGTAAACGTCGTCAATTTTTGTCATTAATGGCACCGCTTGTAAGTCATTTTTTGAACAGGAATTGATGCAAGCTACGAGGTTCGAGGTGACGACAAGAAAGAGCCAACTGCGGATGACAAGTCAAAAGCGGAGGAACAAAGCCAACCTTCCGATGAACAACCCAAAGCAGAAAATGTGGAGACAGTGCCAAATGAAACAGTTCCTTCAGCTCCGACTGCTCTACCTGTTGCACCTGTGAGAATCGTTTGAACTGTTGTTATAAGCAAAAGCCTTTGTTGTCCAAAAGAAAGGTTGGCGTATGACAGCTCCTCAGCCTCAAAATCAATTCAGGCGCTCTTTCTGCTTGACTAATGTAAAATCGAGATATCGTATGAACTTCACGATATTTCAAAACAACATCTGCTTCTTAGGCCCTGTTAAGTGGTTATCTTGTCTGAGATCACCCATCTATGGAACTACCAGACTCTCATTCCCAGCAAAGGTGGGATCTCGTCTCAGAAATGAGGGGGACTTTGGTTTTTCACTTGAACGCGCTCACAAACATTCCAATCGAGTATCTAAAGGAGCAATACTTAATCCTTACTGACACCATTGTGGCTACGTGTTTAATGTTTTCCGCTATAAAAATTTGATGAATCCCATCCGCAGGCAGCTTCTGCAGATTGCTTTGTGGTGGCCTTATTTTTTCCGTTGTGAAGAGGTTCTTTCAGAAATTCGACAACCTACAAAAAGCTGAAACCGAGTACTGTCAGGCAGCTGAGGAGGCCAAGGAAGTGAACGATATAAAAGAGGTGGTTTTTGACTTTAGTCATGGTATTGAGCCGTTAATCTGAAAAAAAAGAGTTTAGGATAAGCAAGAGAAAGTTGAAAATGGGCAGCTTCAACCTGTCAAAGCTCCTTGCGAGGTATGAAAATTTCTTCCAATGCTAGTCTATCTTCATTTATCACAAGTGAGATTCAGAAATTTCGCCAACTAGAAGAAGCTGAAATGGAGTACGGGAAGGTCATGAAGGATTGTGAAGGTGAAGCCAAGGAGAGCAGTGAAGCCAAGGAAACAAACCTACCTAACGAAGCGATAGGTTTGGAGAAAGGTTTAATTACATGAACCCCCGTTCGTTATTTCGATCTCCCTCAGGTTGGGAATATTCATAGAAGCAACCATTAATCGGTTTTTGCAGAATGTAGATGCTTTGTTTCTCGTGTCGGGCGCTGGAAATGTCCTGCGTGCTGCAAAAAGGAAAGAAGTCTGAAAAGACCAGGACACAAGCAATCTTATTCAAAGGTCCGTTTTGCATTCTAGAGAGGTCTACCGAGCCATTACTTAAATAGTGTCATAATTAGGCCGTCAGTGAAGCAATGGCTAATTCAAGAAAAGAGTCATCACTTGCAAAACTTCAGGTCTGCTAAGAATTGCCCCTCATGTTTTTAAATAAAACCAGTCTCCTTTTTCACCTTGATTTTCTTAGGTCATTATTTTACAGGACTCGGATAAATCTAGCAGCGAATCTAGCGATGACGACTTCGAGACGCTATCACATGAAAGCTTCCAGGAATGCTCTGGCAAAGTTTCTTCGTATGTTTTCTCGTTTCGTTTTTATCCGTTTTACCTAGTGGATTTCCTTGCGAATTAACGTGATTTCACTTTGAAGGGATACAAAAGTGAGAAAATCATCATTGAAGACAGATACGGCGAATCGTGGTGAAACAAGCAATGCTGGTCAAGAGGTAATTCCAATTGGAATTATTTACACGTGAAAGATTCCACGTCAAGGTCATAATATTTACAGCTAAATGTCGAATAATCTTGATGAAAAGACTTCCCATTGATTTCTAGCTGTATTAGTGGCTTGTGCTTGTTCCCATTGCTAATAGAGTTTTTATAGTTATAAAAAATAATTAATATAGTAAATGAAGTAACTTATAATTATAGTAAATGAAAGAAAGTACGAGTTAGAAATAGTGATATCAAGACTTTGGGTGAAGGAAAAGTGTAATAAAAGTTCAGACCTCTATTCTGTACCCGACGCTCTCTTCCGCCCCAAACGCTGACACTGACGAGAATGATGGTGTGGAGGATCAAGGAATCGTAAGTGGTTTGGTATGGTTTGTCCGCCTATTGACCTTGTAGGACGTGGTTTTTGTAATAAACAAGAGATGACATCGCAGTAGTTATGTGTCCTGTTCAGGCATTCCGTTTGATTGAAATGGGCTTTTCGGCAGAAGAGGTGTTCCGCGTGGTGAGAATGCATGGCAACAACTTTGAGAAATGCATTGAGGAAATTCTGATGAAGTAAAACACTTTCATGTAGTATTCTTCGTATGTCAATATTTTGGCTTCTTTACTGCAACAGTATTATTTGTAAGCGAAATATGCTCTAAAAATCTAAAAAAAAAAATGTTACGGAAGATTGTAGATCAGCTATTGTTAACCAATTCAATGTCTAATTCTGTGTAACCTTCCTTTCTTCTCTCACATTTAGCCTCCTTACGGTGTATCGTCCATGTATACAGTCAAAATGTAGAAATTGTATAAAGATGTAGTAGAACATTTCTGTTTAGTGAAATGCTGTCAGGAACTGTTGTGATTGGCCCATTATGGCATGAGCTGGATAAACAAACTATCGTTCAAGCTGAAATGTGTGGGAGCTTCCCCATGGATATTGCTGAATGATGATTCTGATGTCACATAAGCTCACATGACTCCTAGTGCTTGCATTTATCAGTGCAGTTGTTCAGTAGGACACATGTACCTCATTAAGTTGAGGAAGGGTTGTGAAGAACAGCACAAAGTGTCTCGCATATAGTAATAGTGTCCCAGGGTGGTTTTATGTATCTGGTGGCCAAGAAAAACCCAAAGGCTGGGAAACAATAAACAGGCATAGCTTAGCGCATTTGGGATACAAAGTTGTCGAAGTGCTAGTGAGCAAGAACAACTATGGAAACCAAAACAACAACAGCAGCTTAACAGTGCTGCAGATATCGGAACAAATTGGAGGGAATGCTTGGAATTGGACCCAAAAAAGCTGTTAGGAAACTGTATTTGTAGATGAGATGGCCACTGAAGCATTAAATGCCAAAATATTGCCTAAATCTTTTTAAGTGTAGCTATTAGCAAAGTGTCACAGGAATAGCGAGTTGTGGCTTCGAAACCGTATCTGTGCTTGCCGAGCGCAACACTCTTTCCCACCTCAACCCCACCCCCCCATTTACACAAAAGAGACCGCAGTTGGCCTCGCCTCCCCGAGCATTCGAGGGGAGTTTTCAGTCAGTTTACAGTCCATGCTATTATTGGGTGATCAGCTCATCACGTCGTGCTCAAAAGCCATGAAGCAGGCAATGGAATTCGTGGTCTCTACAGGGTATAGGATGGAATACGACGTTCGGAAGGCACAAGTACGTGCTTGAGTCCCATTTCCGTCCGAGCTTTCATGTCCGTTTGCCCTTAAATCACAATCCGTGATACGTTAGAATCGCTTGCGTACTGCGGCACAATAACAGCAGCTGATTAAAAGCAGCATGCCAAACAAATTACCATGAAAGTTTTAGATCTTTTTGTGCAGATGTGCTCAAGCTTCAACTTGATGTTGTCTCTGCAAAGTTGAGGATCCAATCACTCCATGTATGTGCATTTCCATCTTTATCCATAAACTCGGCATGTGCCAGAATCTCTCTTGAACTTGCTTTGTAGGAGGTAGTTATGAATTTTTCCACCTTTATTGACTTAAGGAGATGTTCCTCTTGATGTAGAGGTGGTAGTAAGTGGCGCACTTTCACACGCGCAAGGTATGGGGATCGGGTCTCGTATCCGTCTCTGCCCAGGACAACCAATTCCTCCATTACTCCGCGGTCGTTCCTCAGTTTCATTGATATCGTACTCTTCTGAGAGCATAAAAACACTGGCTTGTACATCGGCTCTCCTTTGCCACTCATTGCATAGGTCACATAGGCGTTCGAACAGTCACTACGATACTGAATGGAAGTCGTATGAGGGGTGCACCTCAGATAAGGATTTTATTAAGACTTTAGGAGCCAATGACCTTGTCCTTCTGAGGCACCCTTTTCGTGAGGTCATGGGCTGTAGCCATGTCAAAGATTCTTCCTTTTTCGGCCTGACTCCAACTCCCTCTAGCACCAAGCACCTTTTCAAGGCCCTTCCGACGCTACCATTATCATCAGCTAAGGTGAGATAGTCCCCTTCCGGGACGGATATGATGGCATCTTCAGGCTCAGAAAGAACTTAATCTTCACGTGCCCAGTAGCCGGCCTGTGGCGGGTACACCGATATTCTCCCGTACCTCTCTTTCGTCTCTTTCTGAGTGCAGTCGTTGGCCTATACTCTTAAAGGCACGGTTCATGATAAAAAAAGTTAGTGAATTCTTACCTTACCAATACTCAGCGGCCTCAATACTTGGGTGGGGTGGTAGGAGGGACCCTCTCGCTCCCACAATCTCGACGCTTAGGGTATAGTGGGGGCCTTGTTGCTGCCGTAACTGGCTTTAACGCCCCTCGATCGATGCCACTTTAGACGAGTGTTGAGACGATACAGATTGCAACCATTCGTTCCAGGATCCACACACAATCAGCTGATCGCCGATGAGGCAATGTTTTTCTCCCATTCTTTTTCCTGTGTCTTTTTTTTTGCTGCCGCGATCCCTTATTCAATTTCCTACTTATAGAGTCTGAAAAAGGTGAACTACTTTTGCGATTACCAGGTGTTTTTTTCGTTTACTTATGCATATGAATGAATGAATTTTTGCTTACCGTAATCTGTTATTTGCACCAGAACCCGCAAGTACGCAGTGAGACACATTGTATAGCTCGTCCAAACGCCCACTCTTCTTCATTTTTCAGGTCTCATTCTCGTCCATCCCCCTTTTTAACGGGTTTTCGAAGCCTTTTTCGCTTTGAAACACCGATTCACGTAGTTTCTTCACTTTCATCGCTCTACAAGATCATTTCGTTAACGAAATGCACTTAAAAGCAAGGCTAACTTTTACTTCCACCGGTTCAGGGTTCATTAGGCTAAGTACTCACCAAAACGTCGGAGAGCGGGATTCAAGTACATATGTGGCTCGTCTTCCAATGACGGGCTAGAGAAGAATATTTCAGCCCATTTCTGTTTCTTGTTGCCTCTGCCCTTTTCACTCGAATAAACAGTTTATTGGAATTGTGTGAACAGTTAATGAGAATTTTTGTTGTAGAGACAAACGATTTTCAAAACAGCCCCTTTATTCTCTACCGAATTTTCGTAGTTGCATCCATACTTTGACCCGTCAGGAAGGTTGCTGATCTGAAATGAAATGAAAACTTTTGATCAATTATTTTGCTAAATGTCGTATTCGACAAACGTTTTCTTCCTTTTTTCCCCGCCACTCTAGAAAATATCGTGAGCGTTGCGAGGAGGGGCTGAGTATGGAAAGCACAATCAAGACACTTAATGTAATCAGTGAACGACACAACACCGTTGCACCTAGCCCAAGTTTTGGCCTGACCACCATGGTATGTCCGTGGAGCAACATTTCGTTTTCTTCATAATCGTACTCACTTCCGATCCCTTTGTCTCGAAGAGTTCGCTGAAGGCACTGTAAATTTTCATTCCCATTCCTAGGGGAGAAGAATCGTCCTCTGGTAAGGTTCTTAACAAATAATATTATACATTCGCAAAAATGCCAGAAAATCTTAGAAAATGCAAAGACGAACATTTCTTCTCCAATCACCAAGTCGGCCTTTTCACTATCCGGAGACTTCAGATGTTTCAGTGCCTTTTCAGCCAGTTCATCGCTCCACACCTGTGCATTTACTTCATTATAGTATAAATTGAGTTTGGTTAATCCCAATGGGGAAACTAACCAGTTTTCCGCCGTAAGAGTTGAGCTCTTCAAAAGCTGATAGTACATCATCCGGTAGAGCTGAAAATGTGCTTCTTGAGAGATCTGGGATAGTCATTGTTGATATAATCAGAAGACACTTCGAGATAATGTGATTTATGTGTTTGCCATCAATTAACAGAACCCACCGCTAGAGGCAACATTTGCTAGGAAGAAAGCTAGTACAGTAAAGATGAAAAGCATCTTGAATGTGATGGAATTTCCTGGATACCTAGCCTATTTGTAGAACTCGACGACATGCATTTCCCTAAACACCTGCTTCGGCAAAAACCATAATGGGCTAACACAGCATTGTCTGAAAAAGGATCTTGCAGAAGTGTTTGATTTCCATGTCACGAAGCAACGTATGCGTACTGTATGTACGTACGGAGATGCGTCATGTACGTTGATCGGAAGGCGAGGGCGTAGAACTACACCGTTATAGCCCTCGAAGTTTCTTCACGCCTTTCAACTTAACTTAGAATTTTATTGCATGTGCAGTGCACATGAATGAAACAAAATAAACAACCACTAAAACAGAAGAAGCAATCGGCAACGCGAACAGTATCAACTAATGAAGAACTATTGAAAAATATTAGAAAGAACGGTATTGAGATAGTAGGAAATTGAACAAACAGAAGGAAAGAATGATCAGATTGTTCATGGGCTTTAACATTTGCCTCCTATTCAAGATGACGATGAAAGAACTGCTTAAACTGAACTACACTTCTGGGTAAAACAACCTTCATAGCGATTTTGAGAGAACCAGCCGAAGCCCTGGCCGTGAAGAATCTGTCCCGAATATGGTTCGCGGTAGAAGGACTGGTAGTTTAAATCTATAAGATCTTTTCCGAATCGAAAAGAGAACAAGAAGCAGGCGTATTCGGAGTGAAGGAATCAAATAACTTTATAGTTTGAATTCATCCCATACAGATTTTTGAACTCTCTAGGTTCACCGAAATCCGTTTTTGGTTTGTTGCCCGCAAAAAGTATGTCATAACAACTTACATGAAATACATTATTATTTTTTGTAACGAGCCGGCTGGGAATCAATAAGTGTGAATATGAATGTATATCGATTAGATTCCTAGGAACTCTGTCCGTCTCTGTGTGGGGGTGTATACTGATGAGGATAAGAGCAGCTCGTCAAATAGCCGGCTGCTCCGTCTACACCGTGCAGCAGCAAAGCAGAGTATTTTCTGCCTATTGGTATGCAAACAACATGGATATCCATTGAGTCATTCTTGTATCAGGCCGCTTTAGCACATCAATTAAGAGGACCATTCAAGTCATCCGTCTCGAGAGGAAGCCCCAATTATAAAACGTTTAACTCCCAGTTTTCACGCGATGATAGCAAGGTAGTCGAAAGGGCTACTCAATTACTCGAAAACTTGGAGGACTACATACAAGTTGTGCTAAAGCACGCTTGTGATGAGAAACGCCCTTCAACGAGGTGTTAGCTTTTAATTCAGCTAAGCTAGGCCTATGCCCCGTCCACTATGAGGACTTAACTCCCCTTTCTTCGATTTTTCCGGATTGAATAACGTTTTTGAACAGAGATGTGGATTCTCGTTCTCAGTCCCGCCCATTCAAGCTCACGCCCCGCCCACTATGAGTTCTGACTCATCCTCATCCAATTTCTCCGGATTTCCAAAGCTTTTGTAAAATGAAGATATAAACTCTTGATTTTACCTTCACGCACCTGAGCGTATATTCCACACACTGCGAAAGTTCAACCTTCAATACCCTTCAACCTATTTTTCCCTAATTTCAAAACGTTGCTAGACAGGTTTACAAAGTTTCTAGAAAAAACAGTTCATCGGAGAGCACGCTTCACCACCGCAAGCAGTGTTTTGTTTTGTTTATACATACAGTAGCGATCACAAGTCTTCGCTGAAGCGCTTTCCCAGTTGTAACTTTTCTCCTACTGCATAAAATCATATGAAATAGTATGTTATTTAGCGACATATTGTGAACTGAACAAGCCATCGTTCAAGATGAAGAGTGTGGGAGCTTCCCATGTATATTGTTGGATGTTGATTTTGCTGTCATCTGAACTCTCATACTTGCATATATCACTGTAGTTAATCAGCAGGACCCATGTACTTCAGTAAGTTCAAACAGGGTTCTGAGAGGACTAGCCAAAAGCGTCACTCACGCAGTGGTAGTGACTCAGGGCGGCTGTAAGTGTCGAGCCAGGAGAAACCTAGAAGCTGGAAGAAGTCAGAGATCAAAAGTAATCAGAAATAGTTTTGCGCTTCTGGGATACACAGTTGTCGTTCAATGAGCAGGAAAAACAGTGTGAGTAGAAATCAACTGTGCTGCAGGTCACGAAACGAATAGGAAGGAATGCCTGAAATGGGACCCAAAACAGCTGCCAAAATCTGATACTGTAGATGAGATGGCCACTGAAGTGCATGTTATTTATGGAGTTTCTGCACGTTGAAATCAATCGTTTCTCAAGCCCTTTGAATAACGTCATTAACAAAGCCAAATTGTAGGCGAGCTGTAGAGAGAACTTCAGTCTCGACCACGACACGAACCCGTACTTGGGTTTGTCGACCACACCACGCTCCTTTACCCGTACCATGGAGACCATGGCTAACCAGAACAACTTAATGGAAAAGTTTGAGAGGGTTTTCGGAATCCGATGTTCATTTTGATGTTGTCTCTGCGAAGCTGAGGATTCGTTTATTTCATATGTGTGCATTTCTTCGATTATTCACAAACCATCTTCGACATGTATTACAATACAACCTTCCTGGAACATGCTTTGTGAGGGACTGGTAATGTGCAATTGGATGAATGCTCTACCTTGACTGGCCTAAGAAGATCTTCTTTTCATGCAACTTCTTTAGTAATAAAACTGGCGGATATTTTGAGAGAGATATTCAAAGAGATGCTTGCTTTTCAAATAATACCATAACGTGGACAAGAATACGCCCGCACAGATGCTATACTTGTGTGCACATAATAGAAAAACAATATGTACATATTGATATGTCGACATCCTATTCAATTTGCCTGGCTTCGAACATGTGTAGACCATACCTTGTGGCAACTAATTGCCTTTTTCCCAGGTATCTCTTTACCGAGCAGAGTTGATTTAGTAGGTAGCGCACCAACACATGCGCATGGTACGAGGATCGGATTCCGGATCGATATCTGTCCAGGAAAACGAAGTCATTAATCACTTGAGGGTAGGTAATTTTGTTCTAGGTTAGTCTATGAAGGCAAAAACACTGCTAGTTCATCGCCTGGCCACAGCAATTCATTTTTAGGGCATACACGTAATTAAATCGCCGCGACGATACAGAATGGAGTCGAATGCGCGGCTCATCCCAGCCATTTTGCACACAAATAACTACGAGAATTGGAGTGCCTCAAAACTATTCATAACATCTCCATCATCACAAACTGACCATTTTACAGAAATTCTACAGAGTTCTACAGAAATGCAACTTAAGCGATTGCTAAATAAGAAAAATCTTTCACAGGCTAGCAATAGTGTTATATTCCTGAAACTGTCGCAATCTGATTCCAGTAATAAAACCATATGCCAAATGTAGCCTAACTTGCCGCTATGCCGGCCTAGAGTGCCCGTGAGTAAAGGTTTACTGCCATGAGTAGTATTTCACTCATTTCCAAAAGAGCGCATTGGAGGAACTGCTCTTAAAAGTGAGGCTGGCTTTTACTTTTACCGATTCATTTGGCTGTGTAATAACTAAACGGCAACAGAGAGCGGAATTTAATTGTGTGGCTGGTCTCCCGTCTGGTCTGTGAGAAACATATCAGTCAAATCCTATTAAGCTGAAAAATCAATTCATTAAAAAGCTTCGGATGTGTGGTTAACATCACTTTTCGTTGTAGAGACAGGCGATTTTCAAAACTTCTTCGATGTTCTGGAAGTTGCATCCGTACTTCGAGCCTTCGGGGAGAGCACTGATCTGAAAGTAAACCAAAGTTGCTAGCTCCTGACTACGAATGATAAGTAAATATAATAATTTACTGAATGTTTTATTCAGAAACATTTTCTCCCTTCCGCTCCCGCTGCTTTCAGGACCGGGCTGGGAAAGCTCACTCGGACAAGGTAATGAAAGCAGTAACACTGCTATGCTTAGCCCAGTTTTAATTAGGCTGATTTGGTATGCCATTGTAACAAAATTCTAAAGCAAATTTTCTTCATAACTTGTACTCACTTTCGTTCCCTCTGTTTCGAAGAGCTCTCTGAAAGCATTGTAAATATCCATTCCTGATAATGAAGAATCGCCTTTTGGTATGGTCCTTAACATACAATATTACATATTATTCGTAAAAATGAAAGAAAACGTTCGAGAACGAGAAAATGAACATTTCTTCTCCGATCACCAAGTTGGCCTTAACAGTCTCCGGAGACGTCAAATATTCCAGAGCCTTGTTCTCCAGTTCATCGCTCCAAACCTGTGCATTAACTTCATAAAAGTATGAATTCATTTTAGCAGGACGCGATGGGGGAACTAACCAGTTTTCCGCCGTATGAGTTGAGCTCTTCAAAAGCTGATAGTACATCTTCCGGTAGAGCTGAAAATATGCTTCTTGAGAGATCTGGGCAGTCATGGTTAACATAATCAGAGGACACTCTAAGCTAAAGTGATTTATGTGTTTGCCATCAATAACAGAACCCACCGCTAGAGGCGACATTTGCCAGGAGGAAAGCTAGTACTGTAAAGATGAGAAGCATTCTGGATGTGATGGAATGCTCTGACTACCTTGCCTATTTATAGAACTCGGCGATATACACTTCCCTGAACACCTGCTTCAGCGGAAACCAAAAGGAACTGACACAGCCATGGCCCGAAAAAGGAGTTTGCAGAAGTGTTCGAACTCCATGTCACGAAGCAACGTACACATGTATATTGTACGTACGGAAATAAGTGGAATATGTTGTGGTGCTTCTACTTTTGTCAACTTTCTTCTTTTCCACCCCTTCCAAAACAAAGAGGTCAGGGGAAGCTGGCAGATAGAGTGACTATCTGTAAAGTGTAGGAATCAAAGTCGCTTTATACCTCTTACTCATACCAGTTCAAACTTGGAACTCTCACGATTCACAAAGTTCTTGTTTTCGGTTTGTTGCCAGCGAATACTATGCAATGACAACTTGCATAAAATAATCTTTTTTTTGTAAAGAACCGGCTTTGAATCGATAAGTATGAATATGAATGTACATCGATTCGATTTCCTTGGAACTCCGTCCATCTCCGTGTGGGGGTGTATACTGATGAAGATAAGAGCAGCTCATCAAATAGCCGGCTGTTGCGTCTATACAGTGCAGCAGCAAAGCAGAGTATTTTCTGCTCATCGATATGCAAACAACTTGAATATTCGTTTTGTCATTTCTGTATCAGATCACTTCAACACAAGATGTTGTAGAAAGCAAAGGGGCCACTCAAGTCTTTGGACCTTGCTCAGTTAACAATAATTTCTGTGGTCCTGGCTGTGGTGGTATCGGGTGATCAATTTGTTAAAATGATACAGCACATTGTAAGTATGCTCTACTCATTAGGTGTGGGTTTCTTTCGTTTGACCTGTTGGCCCATTTCGAACCACATTTTCATCGTTGTCTGCTCTCTGATGGACTGTTCCTGAAGCAAATAGGAAATTTTGTCTTAGAAGCGTCGCCCTTAGCCCTCTAACTCGCTCGATGTAATAAATTTTTGTAATTAGCTTGAGCCACTGGTTTTACCACTACTCATTCGGAGTCACACTATCTGTTGACACCTTCCGAGCTTTGCAAAACAAAGGGAATTTCTGAAATGCCTACCATCCAATCAAAATTGGACCATAAAAGCGATTGCAATGCTTTCACATCTTGCCGATTCCGTTTAATTGTCTACCCGGAAGACTCATGGTGGCTTTAGTAGCACATAAGGCCCGCTCAAACACTCCCGATCCATATACCGGCTATGCTTCTTTACTCTGACTTTTGCACTAGCAGAGGGACCAGAGCGTATGTCTTCATGGTCCATGAACAGATGGTGTAGCCAAAAAGTTCAGCTACATCAAACCGTAAGATTATCCTCATCTTCACAGTTCTAGCTTTTTCGTCGGTAAATGCCGTTTTGAAGAAGATTCTTGTTTATTAATGCCAAATCTCTATCGCAGAGTCGATGCACAGGACTTTGATGATTCGTAGAAGAAAAGAGAAAGCGGCCAATATGTTACACTCAGCAAAACTACGATTCAGGTC